TCAAGCGCCAATTAAATGCACTGACCGCTTCTCCGCTACTAGTCCACGTGTAATTGCCATCAATACCAGTTGCTCCGAGCCAAAAACTCTGCACACCCTTATCGGCAGCCAAATCTGAACGAATAGCTATAGATGAAAATTTCGAGTCAATTTTATGCAATGTCAATTATGAACATTCGGTCTCTTCTTCAGAGATAATCTGCTTAGTGAATCCAGACAAACCATCTTCAGTCATTTACAGTGTTTTAATTACGGTCGATCTGTGATAAATGCTGAATCAGAAACGATCTGACATTAGAAATCGATTCACTTACTCTTGAGGAATGCATCTTTCTCTTCACTGAACACTTCAATCATTGCATCGTTGTATTCATCGCATGTGTCTCGAGCAACATCGTATGGAACTGGTTGGCCTTGCGGATAGATGCACTCACCGAATTTGTGGCAGAACTGCACATATGGTAGCGGACAGAAGCAGTTAGCTGAAAATTAGCAGAGTTATCTCAAAAAAGCGCTTNATTAGATTACATCAATTTAATGACGTTGCTATAATCTTCAACGTCTGAACTATTTATGAATGTTGCAAAGGCTTTGTGCAAGTTGACGATTCTCAATGAAATGTTTGCAAATTTCTTGGTTTTGTGCTAGAATTGTAAATGAATACGTTGAAGCTACAGCAGCGAAATGAATACTGAAACATGAGATGAACTGAGTCATAAAATGAATTCTTCAAGTTATGCGCATCAATAACTCACCATCGCAGAGTTTTTGTAGGAATTGTGTTACAAATTGTTCATCGAAGTATAATCCGTAGCATTCACTTCCGAATTTCATTATTGGAAATCTGTCTTGACCATCGTATTTCAGTGCAACAGTCATAACGACACCTCCATTTTCCTTTATTTGCGACGCGATACGACACGGGTTCATTTGAGGGCTGCAACAATTAATAAAAGTCTTTCATCAAAGCATGTCACTGGCACAAATTAAATCGCTGTTTTAATGCTTTTTAAATACATACTGATAAGATGCGGATAATGTGCTAACTACTCACTTCATATGATGACCGTATCGGCAGTTTTCCGATTTACCTGAGAATACGATGACGAGTTTCTTGACATACCTTCTGTTCCAACCGTAACTCATATCCCGTGCTGCCATTAGAGATCTGAATTCATCGTTTTGATAGATGCTTCTACATTGACTTTTTCAGTGACTCAGTTGATTTATCATAATTTCCCAATGATATCGCCAGAAATCGACCTGTGTTGTGAACAATTGAGACTTACGATGCAATATTGAAGTCGTTAGCGTTCTTATATTCCGTGTTAAGGATGCCATAAAATGCTTCTTTGCTATTGGTGAATTTTGTGAGATCGGCAACAACCTCTGCCTGAAAATTTGGATTTGTAAAGAGCAGTGCAACTTTAGTTATACGAACTCCTTAATTTTTCATGAATTCAGGAGTTTTTTCTACATTTAGAGTATGTGTGTAATATGTATTTTCTGAAATGAAAGCAATTTGCTGAGGAGGAAAAAAAATGTCTCGAATGTTCGAAGTGTCTGTGCAGATCAATTGAACGAATCTCCAAACTCACATGCTCACCGCCATTAATAACACCAATTCTTGAAGAAGGAGCAGTGTATTGCTTGACTGGAATGCGGTAAGCCAACGCTGCGGCGAAGTTCCGTATCTGAATTCACAAGCTGATGGTCTTACTTTCACCCTATCGATGATGCTGTGCATAGAATTACTTTACTGAGGGTGCTTTGTAAACTGAAGAACCTCACGTTTCTTCAGTCAATGGTGGACAGAATCAATATAATTTCCAATGAAGTCGGGTAATACCACTTAAATACGCTGGTGAATGTAAACTGTTATAGAATTCATGATGACCTGAGAATGCCTACCCGAAAGTCCAACTGAAACGGCGAACAAACCCAATAACTGGAGATGAGCACGCATTCTAGACAACGTTTTAAGTGCAGAATACTGTTGTCAAATTTGTGGCTGTCATTCATAGTGTCAGATTAATTGCTGTGATATCAGCGTATCACGTGAAATTGTGGTCGAACGTTGATTATTTTTTCAGTCTTAATCAAGCTTTATACTTAAAAAATTCCTTCGATGAGGAAAAATGAGTATTTGTTCGCAATACATGGATTGCTTAGTGTAGATTATTAAATGCTCTTCACTGTCATTTTTCTCCATTTGATGTCAACTGATAAGACTGTGAATAAATGCGACAGCAAATTATAACTTAAATTCTGTTGAACAAATAATATGCACATTTGATCGCTTATAATTTTACAGTTCCCACTAAAATTCGTTCTCGATTGCACGTTTAGCAGTCGAGTTTGGCATTTGGATGACTCGATAAAATATTTACCAAGCAAAAGCCCTAAAAACGCTGATTTTTACGATAAAATCATTGACGATAAACTTTCGACTGCAGTTCCAATCAATTGTAATTCAAAAAAAGCATGACATCACCTACGTAACTGGTACTTATGCACCATTAGAGATGTGAATCGGCGTTGCTGTGCATTGCAAAACTGAAGAGAAGACTAAATAGGTAGAGATCTTCGGACTAAAATATTGGATTGCCCTGGCTTCCTGACCAGCTACAACATTTCAACGAACATTTTTAGTCCCCGACTTTTCTGGGATTATGGAAATCCCCGACCGTCGGAATTTTTCGAGGCCTTCCTCGAACATCCCCTGAAGATTGATAGAATCAGAGAAAAGCGTCAAAACCGAAATCATCAACAATCCATACATGCTTCTTATGATACTGTAACGGATGATGCGAGTTTTTAAGCTCATCTCTTCGAAATGTTGTCGTGGACATTTGCCCTGTCGGCTTTGAGATTATTTAACGACTAGAGTTGAGCTGGAGGCCACTGGGAGTATCAGCCCTAAGCACTCGCGAATTGACTGAGTCCATCGATCCTGCTCTCGAGCCCTTCCCTTCATAATCTGTTAACAAATTACGTAGCACTATACATTGCTATTCTTGGTTTCGATCAAAATTAGTTCCTTATCAGTGAACTCATCCAGAGCAAACAATGCACTCAGTTCATCGTCGTGAATGACAGCTTACTTCAACAATCCCCTTCATTTTCTGCTTCTCTTCACTCCACCGTCATGAAATAGCAATTAAGATGATTGCAATTTTATGAGTGGAAGAAAATAAAAACACTTCGTGACGACAGTTCGAAAATCGATCACTTAAATTTCAGCAAATCACACTGAAAGGATGCTGGATGCATGACGGTAACCTGGGTAATTGCGATAATGAGGCGTGTATCGCGGAGGAACGACCCACGGGGCACGTGAACGCGGTACTTTTTTGTTGTTGCAGCACTCACAACTGCAATCGACGCATTCGTTTTCCTGCTCATAGCCAACCGACAGGTGAGAATAACTAACTGACTCATTGTGAACATTCTTTTAAGTTTTATTCTTTTCATACAAACTGATTCAATTGAATCTGGTTGTTTTTATTCAGTCATCAATGACAAGTCATCATTACTATCACAATTATCATATTCTCCTTTGCTTGACATCTTTCTTTTCAAAAACCTAGCATTAGTGATGCACAAAGTTACCGTATTCAATAGAACCTAGGCTCGGGTAATTACTCGGTGATCATTAAGCTACTTTTCCTTCGATTTTGATCGGTATTTCGTCTCAAAATTTGTGTGTTCCGTCTTGAAATTATGTGCGTATCCGCATATGTATCCCTTCATCTAATTGATTATCTGTTGTTCAAACAAATAGTTGATTCTTAATTTATCCATTTCTTTTGATATTTATGATACATTCGCCGTGATCAATCATTTCTTTTCATATCATCCAGCTGAGTTATATCATAAAACATAGTGCCTTGAATTGTGTTGAGCAATATTTGTTATTGGAGTATTATTCATTCGGTTACCGATTAGAACTATTCTTGAAAGTTATTTTCAATGAACGAAATATGACATAGGTATCGAGTGATTATTTGCACAACAAGAATAAGTTATGAACACTTGTAAGAGGGAAAGATGTTTACGATAACTCTAATAGCGCATGCTGTCATGATCCATAGAACTACCGTAATTTGATCGTTCTTATGACTTACGTATGAAAAAATGAATTAGCAGTGTTGCATTCTGGTCGTTCATGGAAACTATGGTCATCAAGTAGATATTTATTCATGCGTTCCACATGAAGTGATTAGATCTCATGGAAGAATTCATAAATGCCACTGTAAAGATTCAATGCTCAGAGTTTTCCTACAATAGTTTATGAGCAATCATGGAGGAATGTTGGGTTACCAAAAAGTTTTCATACATTCCGAGTTGACGTATACAATCGTTCAATAATTTGCCTTCTTTCTTTCAGTAGCCCCGTCAACTATAGGTCCAACTGAAGTGGATGATCCAGGCTTGTTCTCATCGGATAGCTGGGTAGCTGCCGTGATTATAATTGGTATATTCGTGGCATGTCTTTTGGTTTTATTGTGCTACTGGACATATCGAGAATTCCGAAGTAGTCAACACATCAAAGCAAAGGTAACGTCAAATGTCCTACTTCTCAGTGAATTGCGGAACAAACACCGATTCTAAATGATAGTAAATATAATCGAATTACCTGCTGATGATCATAAAAATATGGATTCACTGAGAAGTTCGTAACGTATCGAATTAATCATTGCTCTATTCATCACTATTTTTATATCACTCGTGATAAAAATCAAATCGACGAATTTTTTAAATTCATATGCGCTAACAAATAGTAATATGTTTTTGATCGATATATGTGACCAAAATGAGCATTTGCGTTTGAGAGGTATTTATTTTGTGATATCAGGCGATGAACGATTTTTCGTTGCCAAGAATGGGCGATGCGACAAACCCGCTCATGGAGCCTCCTAAGGAAGATGGATGCCGAAATGTTACCTCACTTGAGGTATGTGTGTTTCGAGTAGCACGAGTTAGCTATCGAAATTGAGTTTGTTAATTGCAATACTTGAGGATGCTTGAGAAAAGCAAATTTCTGTCGTGTCAAAGGTTTTTAATTTTATTGTGTCGTAAGACTGGAATTATCCTTAATGGAAAGGCCAGAATTTCTCAAGGAATGAAAGATGAAAACGTTCATTTTCAGTTCGTTGCCCGCGGTCGTTTCGGACAAGTTTATCGAGGTGTTTTGGATGGAGCCGTTGTGGCCGTCAAAGAATTTCCATGCGCTGATGTGAACAGTTGGATCCTTGAACAGGTAGTCTTTCACAACGTTTCACCATTAATCACATTTTTCCGAATCGAAGTTTATTTATGTGATGTTTTTCTCATTTAACCTACTCGCATTATGGAATCAAAGACTATTAAGAGTGAGTAACAGACATCAAATTGAGATCAAATGCTTACAAATGTGACTTACAACCATTCTAGAAATTCGTGCTTCGATTGAATTGAATATTGGTGTCACTCAGGAAATTGAATATTCGCTCATTGTATAGTGTGAAGTATTCCTTATTCACTTAACAGCACCGTTTCGTCCAGGCGTTCGACGGTCAAGCTTTGAGTCTTTGAGCTGCGAAAGCACGCCAGGATCAAATTATTAACTGCTTGATTGAGATATTTAAGTGTCTTATCATTGTTCAGGAAATTTATGCATTGCCTGCACTCCGCAAGCACGACAATATTTTGCATTACGTTGGTGCTGAGGTACATGGCAGTCGGTACTGGCTGATCACCGAATTCCATCAGAATGGATCATTGCATGATTATCTGAAGGTATTTCGTTGACCGATCATCATTGGATCATATCGATTTTGACAAATATGCCGCCTTTTCTGTCGTAGAGCTGTTATTTCACTAGATGCTTCAGGAACTCTAGTGGAATAAGAAATTTGATCACAAATTTTTGCATTTTCCGATGAAGCAGATTCTCTTCTATAAAAAAAGCAGTCACAACACAGTACTGTGTATAGCATATAACATGAAGTGATGACCCGAACTCAATCTTTACTCGCAAAAGTTTCAGCCAAATGTTCTGACGTTACGTCAAGCACTGAAAGTAATCGCCACCATCCTGCGTGGTCTATCGTTTCTCCATGAAGAGAAAACGATTGACGGTGAACTGAAACCATGCGTCGTGCATAGGTGAGTTCAGTTCCTCAAATGAAAGCATCTTATAACCTTTCAAAATAAATCTCTTTTATTTTCAGTTTTCTTAAGAATGTTAAGATTGACCAAACAAATTTCGTGATATTTCTTAGTGTGAAAGGTGCAGAGTCCTCAAATTCATCAAAGCATTCATTTTCGTACCAAACGTTTAACCTATTTATCGATCGTTTGATTTATTTGTGCATTGTTTTTGATAGTTCCTGTTTAGAGTTGAAAATATCATAAAAGATTTGCTTGAGCAAGTTATGAGAAATAAAACTTCAAACAATTGGTATATATCACTCGCTCTCTCTTTCAGAGACTTCAAATCACGCAACGTTCTTCTGAAAAATGACCTCACAGCCGTAATTGCCGATTTTGGACTTGCACTGAAATGCGAAAATGGTCAAATGCCAGCTGAAGATCATCATGGACAAGTGAGTTGTACTTGAAAGTCAATTCTTATTTTAATAACTTATTTTGAAAGAGCATCGTAAGTGATTGTACTATCACTGGCATACATCTGATTATTCTGCGATATTACTGAAGTATAATTCGTGGTGCATATGAGATTAATTTGTGCATTGCTTTCGTTATTGGTTTCTGAGACTGTGATTAAGATCAACTGAAACTGTTGGTTATTTAATCAATTGAACAAACAAACACAATTTAGTTGTGATGATGTATGAACGAATGAGCATCATAATAACTGTGCACGTAAGGGCTGCTTTTTAAATTGTAGGAGCTGAATTCAAGCATCTGTAAAGAATATAGATATTGATATCGGTCCGATTTGTTTTTAGGTTGGTACCAGACGTTACATGTCTCCCGAAGTGCTTGAAGGGGCCACTGAATTTACTGCGTTTGCATTCCGTCAAATTGATGTTTACGCATGTGCACTGGTGATTTGGGAAGTTCTCTCAAGAACCCAATTCTCTGAAGGTATTTTTCCTTCATTTGATTCTTACTGTTTTCGCTTAGTCTGCTCTCTGAGATTGCGTTCGCTAGGGATATTGATAAGTTTTGTATTTTTGAATTTCAGATGATGTGGTCTATGATTACCGTCAGCCATATGAGGAAGAAGCAGGATTACAGCCATCGCTACATGATCTTCGAAGAATTGTTGCCGTTCAAAAGGCTCGTCCTGGCATAAGAGCCATTATTAAGGAGCATAATGTGAGTAATTCATGCCAGATTCAGAGTCGAAATATTTCGAAGTGATGGCAATGAATTATAAAATTTCTCTTGAGCGGTGTCACCATTTGGTCAATGCTCGGAAACTAGATCTTGAGTACGTCTCTGAAAGACCTGATTCGTCGATTTTGAATTTTATTGTTGGGGAGTCACGATTTCTGATTTATAGATAGGATCAGTTTTGTGGAAAACTGTCGAGGATATGTGGGACATGGAACCAGATGGCCGAATCACATCCGGATGTGCTTATGAACGTGCTAACACCTTATATATGTCATATGCGAGAGATAATAGAAATGACACTGCCCAAATGCATAACGACCACTCATGCCGTGCGTTTCTTCATAAATTACTTGTATTACTCACAAATTAATAAAATTACCAGCATTTCATAGCGTATCAGCGATTTTCCGGGCTGAATTTAGTGCGAGGATCCTAATATTTGATAATGACACTAATATTTGATAGACTATTTCAATTAAAATCGGATCTTTCACAGGTCAAATAAGTGAATTGTTGTGAGATGACTGACTGACTAGTGAAAAGAAACGCGAATTGATGAGGATCTATTCAAATTTGTCTGTCTTGTTTGTTTGTCAATCTCATGATTTGATTTTGAAATGCAAATATAATCAAAAATGCTCGTTCAGATGGACCTCCACCTCCGTATTCACAAGTTCACAGCCATACGAGTGAGGATTTAGCGTTGCGACCACCGGCTCTAATGATTAAGGATGGATCGCTTGGTTCGAATGGTTTCAACGCGACTATGGATGAGTATGCACAGGCTTGTACGGCACCACCGAACGTTCGTTATGTGGGATGTGCGAGTGGTACGACCGAAACCTATCAACGCTCTGCTTCGACGAGTAATAGATGCCATGCTGACTCGATGAACGGTACAGTTGCTGGCAGCACAAACCCTGCTACTGATCACAGAATTGCGACTGCGTCAAGTGCATCTCCTCCAACCGGTAATAATAACAACAATAATGAGAACAGTAATAATAATAACGATGGTACAGATGATACGATTAATTGCTATAACAATAATAATAATATTTATCAAAATGATTATCATGCGTCCTTCCCACCGTCATCCTCCGTACACCTCTACAATAACATCAATCGCACTCACGACTCTCCTCCAATCATCAAACAACAACCGACGATAAATTCTTATGGTGAATTATCATCGGAGCTGTCCGATAACAATAATACTAAACCGTCAACTACTGACACATTACCAAACGGTACGATAAATTACCAAGCCGCCCACCCTCAGCAATCGTTAACCGTCTCACCAAATCGAATAATCAGCCAGCATCCCATCTCTTCATCCTCCTCGGTATCAATAGAGGATGGTGCCATCCCCTTAGCAAGGTATCAAATCTTAAGTACTGAGCCACAAAAGGTACCACTCTCAAGGTGACATCAAATGAACTGAAGGCAAGCCAATGCAACATTGCCTCTGTGTCAAATCGTGTTCAGATATGACAGGCACTGCAGCTCGTTGAGTGTACTGCTATAGACCATCTTTAAGTGTCATCAAATTCATTTGTCCCAAAGTCGGAAGATTAATCCAAATTATTATTGGGTGAAAAGAATTCATTCACAAATCGGCATCTTGTTCCACCTCTTACTTCAATTTCATTAAACGTTCCCTAGAATGTTGACATTTCAATCATCACCGATGTAGTTCTCTGAGCGAGCTAATCTTAGATGAAAGAAGTTAGTTATCTCGGTAATTTCACTGGGTTGTGATACTGGAAATGTGTTCGAACGTAACACGAAGGCAGTTTCTGTTGTTCATAGCTGTATGCACGGTCCTGTGACATATCCTCACTTTTGACTTGTTAACGAACGGCTAGCGATAATGAATCTTGGACGGTGCAAATTGGGGCTTATTGTGTATGTTTTTACCGAGAAAATGATGATTGTGCTATGAGATTATGGACTGTTCGTATTGTTTTGTGTTGACCGGTTATTTGTTTGGTATTTGGTACATCCATCAAATGATTTTTGCATGAACGCGAGTCATTATTTGATGTCAACAGTAATTGTGTGTGTGCCATATTGGCGGCGCTGTGTATACAACTGAATGACTGTAATATAAATCAATCCAAAAAATTTTTCGCTAATTCATTCAATTTATCGAACGGTTTTCAGCTCGACCGTTTCTCATATTTTGAACCTCTTATACCTCATCATCTCACAGCATTTACTGATGCCTCTCAATCCTGATTTTTCTGGTCCTTTCTAATAAAGCGATTCAAATTTCTGGGATAAATTTCTCTTGAAAATACGTTGGTTACTCTATCTGATCTATCAGTCAATTTCTGAATCCTTGTCAAGGATCCTTGAGCTCCATGCTACAGAGCAATCACAAATTTCTTTATGAGAACGATAAATCTAAGTTTTGCAACGGTTTTGCAAAACTTCAGTACACGCTGTAATCAAACTTGAATTGCAAGACTCCTGATAGCGATTTAATGTTTCAACTGTGTTGAGGAATAACGATTTCGGACAAATTCAGTAGCTGGAAACGTTCGAAATGAACAGAAATGCTCTTATGAATGTTTGTTCTTCGATTGATCAAATTTGAAATTTTAAAAAGATGATAAAATAGGCATATTGGACGTAATGTAAATTATTAAAATAATTTAATGTTAAAAGATTGTATATTCATACTTGTTTATATCCATCCGGTTTTTGTTGTTGTTTAGTTTGTTTGTCTTTACACATGCACTGTTATCAGAACCAATTTGATTATTGTGATCGCGATTTATTTGTAAAAATTTCGTTTGCGCTCTGCATAAGAGGCGCTGACTGATTCACTGACTCTCATTCTTCTCATATTGTGACACTCAACCGAGGTAATTGTTCGGAACGGTGATCGAGATCGAATGTGCTTGTTTGTTTATTATTTGTTATTTGTTGCTTTTGAGGATATCAATGGCTCTTCACCTGAATTAAACGTGTTTTTCGAGAATGATCACTCACTAGCGTTGAATTTAATGTCGTTCGAGGGGGAGCACTCATACTCTTGTTCGTGAATCTTGAATCAATGAACTGACTGCTCAACAAAATCTAGTTTTTGGAAGGTTATGAATTCAAAAATTTCATTTCAGTTAGGGTTCATCGAAATAGCATTCAGAGATTAACTGCAAATTTTCTGATTTTTTGAAGGAATTCAAAAAATTGTGATCATAAACTGTCGTTGATGCTTGCGTTGTTCAAGTGTTGTTTGTGATGTGACATATTTGAAGAATGACTCATCTTTTTGCACTGTATGTGGGTTTTGAAGTGTCGAAGGTGGTGCTCTGATAAAATGATGATGATGACTATTGTTGGTTGTTGGTCGTTGAATTCGGTTGTTTTTTGTATGAAGACGGATGTACGGTGTCGTTTGTGGCACACGAAATTGGTTCGTTTTTAAGATTGCAGCGGTGGTTGCTGGTGCTCTAGGGGCATCGCTAACGACCCATTCGGACTTGCTGCTCAAAATTGGAATTCGTGAGGATCGTTAGTGTTAGTTTTATAGCATCATGTCTCTGATCTTCGATTGTGATCTAATCCGAACTCAGCATTACCGGTGCTTTATTGTTGCATCGATATTTGATCGTTATGAAATTCGATTTTGACGGATAATCCACGCAAACGTTTCTCCATTTCAAATTTCTGGTTTCCATATTCTTTCACCGCAACATCCATCCTCTTTGTAAAGATATTATTTGTAAACTTAATTGAAATAATATTTAAAGTTCATATAATTCACAGTTTTCTTTTGTTAGTATTGTATCTAAAAAGCATGGAACATGAATATTTTCCGTGTGTATTTTTGTTGTGTTTGTGTGTGTGTACATTTCTGGATCTTGCTGTATCGCTTGGCCGATTCATTGTAACAACGACGGTCGTTTTTTTTCGTTCCTCTCCGCCATGAGCTAAGCGTCAGAAATCACTGCAAAATCTCTGACTTTCATCGACATATTAGATCTGGTTCTTTTGGTCGATATCAAATACGAAAAGAAATAAAGCGTGACTCTTGTGATTCTTAATCACTATGAAAGCATGCCTAACATGGTCGGATAAGATAATTATATGAATTGAAACACGAAATAATGCTTTGTTTCTTCACGAGCTTATAAATATTCATAAGACAATGTTGGCTGATTTGCTAGAATCCCTCGTAAAAATCGCTCTCAATTAAAAAATTTATCCTATGAGGAATGAGCTTATTGAACTGATAAATCAACCATGTAATTGTGCTTCTTCTCAATCCTATTGTTGTTTTTTTCCGTGTTCACAGTTGTCCTGACGAATAAACATACGAAGGCTCAAAAAATATCGAAACTAAAAAAACGATTGAAAATTGAGATAATTGAGAAAAAGGGACACAAACATTTTGTGCGTAGTTAATTGTTATTTTCTGATTTGTTTCGGAAAAATTTTTGAATTTTTTTTCAGTGGATTCCAAATTGTGCATGATTAATAATTAATTGATTGTTTGTTATGATCATAGTTATAACTTTATAATTTCTTTTCACAACGTTCATTCATTCATTCTATTCGTTGCTATTGTTCTTGTTGTTTGTTGTTAATATTATTAATGTTATTGTATTGTAGTATTACAAAAATTGTTTAGTTTATTCTTCGATTTTTATATTTTGCGATATTTGGACAAACAAAAGATTGTTCATCTCTTTCTCATTCTCACATAAATTTTGTATATTTCTTTTGTAAATTATTTTTGTTTTGTAAATTTTATTAACATAATAAATATTTTGAACATCGTTTGATCTGTTGAAACTTTGCACTATCATAATTCATTCAGAAAAATTACTGACAATTTCAAACTTAAATAGCTATTAGCAGCCTATCGATTTCAATAAAATAACAAATAAATAAATTTACAATAGCAACAAATGAATGACTTATTTGGAATATATTTTCATGACGACCATAAATACTACAAAGAAAGTGGACTCAGCGTTTCGCAGGGTTCATTTTGGTTTTGATCAATTGACCAGTTCGGTTTAATTTTCATCACTTTGGCCACTCGACCCACTTCGTTTCTTCGTCGTCGTCGTCGTCGATTCACTGCGAAATTCAATGAATCTTAACAGGATATCTCCGGAAAAGAAAGGTTTTTAATACGTGAAGCAGTTTGCTTCACACGAATTGAATTCAGCATTCAGCAGTCTTCTGAATGCAATTTCAATTTCAGTTTTAAAAAAAACGAAACAAATTTTCCCACTTACCCGTTCAGTTCATCAGAAATAAAATGTGCCAAATGTGTATTTTTCGTTTCGGGAATAGCGAATAAAATCGCGAAAATATCAATTGTTGACAGAGTTATCAGCAGCAGGTAAGGTGCACTTTGAGACAGAATTGACTGAAATGTGGATAACGTGTACTGCTGTTTACTTAGAAAGGGAAGGCCAGTGATGTGGATTAACGCCACCTCGTCAACTGAGGCGACATATCCGATTAAGGATTCTCCTTGCATGTCACTCATTTTTCACTAGGTTTTGCTCCCTACCGTAAGATGAATAAACGCGAATGTGTCATTTTGTGCAATCTGGTTGTCTCGATACAAACAGCTCATAACCATTCAAGATTCGAAACATATTTTAAGACTATTCTCGAGAAATTATCATTCGAGTGACTTACCAACTGAAATATCAACGGTGCTAATGTTGTACCAACTCGAGCAACAACATTACTATGAGCATTCGCTAGATTTCGAACCACGGTTGGGAACAATTCGGCCGAGATCAGTAAGACCTGGAAGTGAATTTACGATCACTTATTGACTATACGGAACTATAGGATAAAAGAGAAACTGAAAATATTAGGCATCTTAACAGTTGAAAATGGTCAGAAAATGCACGTAACCTGAGCAAATATAGATCCGGTTATACCGAAAGTCGTCAGTGTGAATATTCTTATCAAGTAGTTAAAGCGCTCAGCAAGTCCTAAAATGTTGTTGGCTGTTTGATTACTGGGATCGAATTGAGCTGAATTAAAATGACAAGGATGCTTGGCAAACGAGGATGATGGAAGCAGTCAGTCGTGGCAATCATGATAATTTTACTGATCCTAAAGAGGTCAGTGTTCGAAGTGTACGTTATTTAGTCATGTAAATGAAAATATAATATAATATAATATTGTTTACAACAAATATACGGTTGACTATAATGATGATTGAGACGTGAAGAAATGGTACCGAAATGCAAAAGAACTAGAACGCCTCCAAGACACATATCAATAACTGCCATCGAAACGATATGCACCAGTTTCCGTCCTGCGTTCACATAGATATAGTCGACAACAGCGATCTTAATTTCATTTCACTTCCTCAAGACATCTGCTTTTTTTTTGTTGCAAAAACTGGAAGTTTTTGGTCTTTCACATGGCTGTTCGTAGATTTTATCACGGCAATTGTTACAGTAACGACTGATATGCTTGGAAAATAATGTTCTTGGTATGATGCATTTCTTTGTTGTGCACAATTTGGCTTGCAAGCAAAAAAAANAAAAAAAACCAACCGCAATACCGATACAATATCTCAAAATGCCACTGATGGCTGTGTTCACATAAATTGAACCTTGCACTTGCGACATGTTGAAAACCAACGAGTACGTAACGCAGTTTATCACGAACCTAAAAATTCTAGGCGATTTCATATTGTCGAACTCTCGATGTGATATTCATCCGATCAAAACGTTTCTTAACGATAAAAAAAATGAAACTTAAAATTGCAATAGATTCACAAATGATTTTGGATGAAAACGAACAAACTAATTTTGTGAAAAAGCATGTGTGTGCTCTAAATGACCTTCCTGTAGCTGATATTTGCAGTATTCATTCAGAGTGAATCAAGGAGTGAACATGTGAAATGACTCACAAACTAAAAGAAGTCACTATTGTATAAGTGAGAAGTTTTCGACTGCTGTACAGGTCAATATAGCTAAAACGCTTTTCTCCTTTAGCATTATGTTGCTCGTTCCTCTTCGACATTTCGACTGCAACCAAGCGTGCAATCTGCTCTTTAGATATCTGCAAATTCATCAGTCGAATAGAGACCTTTAGAATTGCAAGAGCGAAATCTTTGAAATGTTTTGCACCTGCAAACTTCAGAGTATTCTTCGAAGGAAATTTTAGAAAGCTTTAAGCAGTTATTCCTGGATGAAACTTATATTGGCGGTCATGGTCAATTGACTGATCTGTTGAATCAATGTAGAGCATTCACTCAGAAACATTCTTCAGCATACGGTCGAGGAGCACGACAAACCAACCCTATGCTTGTTTGTACGCCATGAGTTTATTGCTACGAGAGCTTGAATCGCTTCTCTTGTTCGTCCTTTTTGCACCAGATAATGCGGACTCTCTTGTATAAAACTACAATATTGACGTCGAGTTCGAATCTCATCAAGTCATGATTTGTAAGCAAATATATGAATAACCAGTACAAGGGCGGTAATAACTTACTAGGTGAGCAACACTATACTTGGTAATGATACTATCGAGCTGAAGTAAGCAAGTTTTCGCCATTCACCAGCCAAATAGGCGACAGATGCGAAGAGTGCATAATTTGGAGATAATGTCACCACATTACACAGCCAAAAACGATGACTGGTGGGTAAATTCTCGATTACAAACACGGTCAAGACCCTGAAGAATTTCATCTCTGAATTGTGAGCGCATTGAATTGGATCACAACTTATGTGAGAATGCAAATGAAGATATAAAAAATCGCTCGATCACACGGATCAATTTGTTACCAAGTACTCACCCCAATGATGTTTCATGTGGTCAATAAGTATTGTTGGGGAGGTTTTCTTTTTAAGCTATAGAAAATGTGATCGAAACAGAGAATGGGTTTCGAATTTAGCACTAAATACGGTCGTTTCAGCTTAAAAAACTGCAATGAGCACTAACGTGTTAACACCTCCAACAAAACATCCAATAATGAAGCGAAAAATAAGAAACACGATGAAATTTGGAGACAACGCGGATAACGCACAGAATGCATTCAACGCATACAAATTCACGAGTAGAACCTAAAAATGTGATTATGCTACGATTGTACGTTGTGAAATCAAACATAATGAAAACTGAACGAGTTTCATTAAGCATATGTTTTGAAGACACATTTCTAGCAGTTATTGATGGGGCACTTCTTCCCGTTGAGATATACCCTGATCAAAAAAATACGATTCAGTAATTTCGGTCAAAATGACTCCGCATTGTGAATCAAACTGCTGCTTGTCACCGCCGAACGCCTTCACCTTTCGTCTTCCAAGCCTGTCGGATAAGAGCCCGTTGATGAACGCTCCAACGATAAGTCCGGTCATTTGAATGGATGTTGCGTAAGCCGACCACCATTTCTGATCACACAACAGATCGAACTGAAACTTGTTTGTATGAACAAAATTTCAACTCTTTATATTTTATGTTTCTTTTGCAATTTCGTTAAGTGACAAAGAGCCGAATGTCTATGTTACGTGTGTGAATCAACGATGGAAGTGTGCTTTCTGAAAAGCGCTTTTGATGAACGACACCCATTCCTATAAAGCAAATGAAGCAACCTCACCTCAATTGCCGCAGATTTGAATTCATAGCTACTTTTCGTTACTGAATGAGCACTTTTCGATGAATTGACACCAGTATTTCCATCATCACTATAATTTAGATCAACGCTTACGGGAACTTTTGTGCAATCGACGTGTGGCTGTGCCCCGCCAAATATCATGAATACCTGAAAAGTTCAGTCATTCTTATCATCTGCACTTTCAACCGTAATTTCTGACCAAATAAAGTTATCAACCTCAAAAGATGCGAAAGAAAAACTTCAAATCAATTCACTACCATATTGCTGACGACGCAAAAAATAGCAAATTCGTTGAAAATTTCCAATATCAATAGATATCGATCCAATTTGAAGAGATTCTCGATTGAGCTGAGTTCAGATTTTGAAGCACTATCATCATCCCTAAATGAGACAATTTACAAACTTGTTCCATTCGAGCCTTTGGAGCATCTAGTTCCCTTGAAGTCAAGCACCATCTGGATTATTCAATGAATATCTTTCGCATAGATCAAGTAACGATAAATGATAGAAAACTGCATCAAACAACCTACATCTGCGACTGACCGCAATACTTTCTGATGGATATAAGCACTGGAACGAACCGATGAGCAACACTAACTTTCAACAAATGAATTCAATTTTTGAAAACGAGTTCAGCTCAGATCTGTTCTATTGTATCTATTATATATTCTGATTATTCATAATTCGTAAATATTCATGAATTGTGAATTGAGAACAACGTTCGCTTCCTTGCATGCTCCTTTCAGCAAAATACCACTTGACGAATGTTATGAAACGAAGAATCAAAAACGGAACCGTTCCAGATAGCTTATTTCTCAATGAATTTGTGTTTCCGAATCGTTTCAAGCCGTTCTATTACCAACAAATTTCGAACATATCACTTACTTACTTACGCCGTTCATCTGCTTGCTCAGTTTCGTCGATATCGATTAAAAGTTTACAAGATTCTGGTGAAGATGCACGATTAGACTGTGACCATCTTCGCTGATTGTTGCTGTTCGGCAGTTGTGCGAAACGTTTCATAATCATTCGATACTGAAAGTATTTGGACAATAACCCATGACAATAACCCTTGAAAAACAATTCAAACGTGAGCCATCATGTAAATCACACAAATCATAATAGGACTCCATTGCATCTCAGCAGGTATTGAATTACTTCGAGAAAGCAAAACTAAAGTATTGCTGAATAAGAACGTGATGAGAATTCAAAAAGGATTAGAAAAGTGGTGAAAGCTTTGCAGTGGAGATAATGTTGTCAAGAAGCGAGTAACATGAAACGATACAAACTCCGAATGGAGAATCAATCGAACGGATTCATCAAATAGCAAAAATTTGTTGAAAGTTAAATTCCCTATAAATACGGACGTATGTGACAATGATTTATTGTAATATTACGAAGTCAGTCATGAGATTCCATCATCGGCATTTTACATAGCGCTCTTTCGTGTACGTATTGATTTGCGATACGTTGACAAACATGCATTAACGCTGTGTGTCAATCCATTCGTCTGTCTGCTTTTTCAGGGTGTTCCTTTCAAAAAATTGCACTTTCCTCTTCTAGAATATATGGCAACTATCGCCTTTCATTGTGGAAAAATCGATTTTTTTNTTTTTTTGTTTTGGTTCAAAATGAATCTATTTGCATGTGCAAACCAGTTCATTACTCATCGATTGTTATATTTTTCGTCAACTTTTTGCAATCCGGAAAAAAATTATTCAGTGCATGTCAAAGGATTTCGAATGTAGTTGATTAGAAACGAATTACAACTTTGAAATATCATTCCAGACTCTGATAAATCAGCTGGATTAATGCAATAGTGAGCGTTTTTTTTTCGTTCGCGATTGCACTCGTTCTGATTAACAGAGCGATTTTCTCAAAATGTGAAGTTACACATGCGATTGCTGAGAATGAACGAGGAAATGAACTGAAGTATCAGAAAGCGCGATTCATCTTCTGATATTTTCACCGCATCTTTCATGAAGACGACATGAGCGCATGCATAAATCAGTGAAAGATATGCAATTAATTTTCAATTCATCTCAATTCACTGTGAACGTGTTTTACCAATGTAAAGTGTCTTATTATTAGTTCCTCATCATCAAAAAAAAGTATCAAAAACGATTCCCGAATTTCATGCATCAGTATGTAAGTCATACGCTGACTTGAGAAACTCATCTTATTTCGTCACCTAAACCACTGACTCATCTGGGCATTTGGAGTGCGCATACATAGTTCATTCATGCATAAGGATATCCTTCATAATCCATTGAAATTTACACATTTCATCAATAGATTCATTCGACATAATGTCAGCCATACATACTGATGCTTTTTAACGGTGAGTTTAATTTACATTCGCTTTGAATTTTTCGAATTTTAAGAAAAATGGTTTTGTCGCTCGCAGTGGTAAAAGAACGAAAAGAATTCGAAAATTCCATCACCGAAAACACGCGATTATGCGTCTGCTCAGCGAATGGCATTCATAAAGCTAGCAGAAATTGACGCCACATAAATAATTGTATATAATCATCGGTTCTCCTTAATTACTCCCATAGAATGAAGAAAACATCATTGAATTTTGAATTATGTATTCAGAGGTGTTCTTCAGAATGGTGAGGAGGACCTTTCGAAAGCAACGTGCTGCTCCTTCATTGCTTACGATATGAGCAGAAGTTTTGAACTGATCATTGCTCAGAGCTGCTCTCGGTGATTGCTCATAATTGCAATTACTCGCTAACTGCTTATGACTCGAGCAAAACTTTTGGAGTTGCTCATAAGGTTCACACTTTGCATGCTTGATGAACTCTCAATTGTACTCTAGCACATTTCGTGATTATGTTCAAATTCCGGAGCAATTATTCAAAGAAGCAAGGTTAAGACAATGCTTTGCTGTGATTTAAATACTATGGCCACTGATAGATTAAAACCCACTGATAGATCAAAACCCAACAGCAAATTTCGATGTTTTTAATGGTATAAGAGACATAATCTCTTTCATACCGTAAAGAACATCGAACAGTTCATCGTGTATTGAACTTCACATGAAATTTTTTTGTGCAACCTCAGTTCAATTTCTTGACTCATTGTAAAAATGAATTGAATCAATTTGCTGACATCGTGTCTTGCTTGTAACGTCTAAAATACAATCCTGACAGGGAGGAACACATATTCGAGGGGAAACTGGTCTTGGCATTAATTGTTTGTGAAGATTGGTGTTTACGTTCGACGAGGTGAATAATAATTCAGTGATGCAAAATACATTCATTTCGTTAAGTGCATTTTGTGATGTGTGAAGAATTCATCTGAATTGATTGCAATGGCAGTGGCATTGTGATAAGGAACACATTGAATTAACTCTCAATTCCCATATAATTCCGTCGTCGTATCTTTGGAAAATACTTCAAACGATCAGAAATTGTCCAACCAACGAATTAATCTATTCGAATGAACGAAAAATCAATTCCTTATTTTTATGGATTCTGCGAGTGTTCGCTTTTATTCGTTGCCGAATAAAATTTTTTCAGTACTCCTTGTTCGTCAAGAATAAAAAGTATGAAATCAACTTTATAAATATGGCTGTGGATTTGTTTAATGAAGGATTTCGATTTTTTGTATTTATTATAAAGAAGTATAAATAAAGAAGTATAAATGTAATCATTTGCAAAAATAAATATAATCAAACTGTTGCATAGCTATTGATTTCGAATGCTAACTCTTTTCGATGTCATTTTGCGTATTCATTCATAAATTTGTATAAATATGAATTCATAGGTATTATGTTCGGTAATTAGCATATGCAAATGTCGTTTAAAAGAGTTTAGGAGATGAAGAGACTGAGAATGAGACAGTAGTGAAGATATACAGAAGGGTGAAGATTAAGGAGAGATAAAATGATGGTGGTTAGAAGAGCGATCAGATATGGTACAAAGCTTTTAGAGGTAATTTGAAAATGATGAGATGGATGGATGGATGGATGGATGTTACATTGTGAAAACAGTTAGAATACAGTTAATGTCGTTATTGTTACGACTCAAAATGACGCCAAATACAAGCAAAAAGCCCGAAATTCGAACCGCGCAAATCGACCTTTCTAAGCGTCATCTCATCGTCTAATTAATTACCTCGTCTCTCACTTCTTCTTGACTCTTTCCCTTCGAAAAACCTCTTTTCCTCTTTAATCTTCTTCAAAATCACATCGCTTTTCTGATTCTCAACAAATATCTTTTCATCACTGCCAGATCATTGATCATCCATGGATGATTTCTTCGAGTGATAATGAGATGAGATTCTATTCGTATATTGTTATGCATATATTGCGTATATGTTGTCTACTTAAATGTAATCGTTCGAAATCAGTTATTTGAATTTTGTTTTCATCAGCCAGAATCGATAAATAATTCCAAGTCTGTCGCATAGTTCCTTCCTCGAATATCCATCCACATCTGTGATTTTAATTTGTGAATTTCATTAGTTCTATTGCTTTATCTTCATTCCTTTCCACCGTGAACGTTGCGATTAATAAGCTTCTTCGCACGCTTAAATGCGAATATCTTCAGATGTACTGGTGATTGCATTCATAAATGCTGTTGCCTTAATTCGATGTTAACCGGTTGTAACCAATCGTACTGATCCTCATCATATTGCTCCCGATTGAACAATAACACGATCGATCACTTTCCTGGATCACGCTCCTGTGATCGATCATTTTTTCGAAATGATCAAAATACGATCCATCAATTTCCTGGATAAAATCAAGATTGATTCGATGACATCTTTAACAGTTGTCATTTCGACATTGTCTTATGATCATATCCTTCATTCATTTTCTCATATCAACATTCATTAACACTTTCAAAATTTGTTATTAACATAACCACTGTTACACCAACGGTTTCGTCTCTTCGAACCCCGTAAGAATTCCGAACAATCAGCAGAAAACTCCTCTCACGAAATCCTCAAAGCTTTAGCGCGCAGGTGAATGCATGCCTTTGTTCTGATAGCATGTTTCATTGTATCATATTTGATCAAATGAAATTAATTGATCACTCTTCACGAAACATTTTCCTATCGCTCCTGAAAAAATTGCCGACCGTGCTGCTACTTTAGCAGTGGTTCTAAGATACTAGAGATATCAACTTATTAATGCCTATTTCTCAGAATTTCATTAAAATTTCAGCAGACTTGACTAGTTCATCGTCGGCGAATGTCACTCTGAATGATTGTTTATTAACGTCATCGAAGGCATCCTATTCACTAA